TCTTACAATGTACTTAGCAAACAGAAGGAAACATAGAAAGCTGACCCCAATTACTATAGTTTGCCAGTTCCACTGCAAAGGAGTGTTAAATGAAATTTAGTTATTTGGATGTAAATGTTAACGCTTGTGCTGGTTGGGAACTCTTGATGTTTTGGGGTAAAACAACAATTAGAGAGAGGGACTTACTCCATGATGGACTGTGCCCCATACAGAGCGCATTACAGAAATGATATCTGTTTTCGTAGTAAATTTGTTGATTCCAAAAAAACCCTTAAGTTGTTGGAGGCCGATTGTAATGGCAGCTCCACCCATGAAACCAATCACGGCAGCATGGGACAGAAAGTCAATCAAGAAACCCAACCTTGTTTTAGAGGAAAAGAACTATGTTAGAAGAGTGAACTCTGGGCCTTCAGATGATCCACAAAAGAAAATATGAGCAATACAAAGCTAAAAGGGAAAATATCAATCTTTATTAGCAATTTTGTTCTAAGAATAAAGTACTCAATTACCTAAGAATTCCCAGGGTTGCTTGGGTGATCCCAGCAAAAAATGTAGCGGTAAATGCAAGGCGCCGATATTCAGGTGCATTTTTCGTGGGATCAATCTCATTTTGAAGCAGAGTTCCTAGTAAGAGTGATACGACAGCAACCGGTCCTATGGCTATATCTCTTGAACTACCCATAAAGGCATAAATCAATGGAGGAACAAAGCTGGAGTCTGCAAAGGTTCAATGATTTCTTATAATAAAAGTAGCTCAAAAGTCAAAATAAATCCCAGAAAAAGGGTGATTAGGCAGTTAAGGTGTTGATATATGATGTGGAAACTTACAAAGTCCATATTGTGGATCCAAATGTGCTAGCTTTGCATAACCAATATCCTGTTTTTCCAGGGATGTAAATCATTAGTTCTGAAAGAAATGTGAAAACTGATTGGAGGATTAGGCTCCGCTTGTATGCCCATATGAAATTTGAAAATTTTAAAAGCAGGATCAGGACTAGCAAAAATACCTGAGGAATGCAGAGACTTGCAATGGTCAGTCCAGCGATGATATCACCTTTGAACTTGGTAAGGTTGTAACTTCTTCCCCATTCAAGAATGGGAAAGATGGCCTGGATGCCTAAGATGAACTTCCGGAAGTTTGGTTGATCCTTGAAGGGGCGTAGAGGATCATCTGCAAAGAATGTTTCTTTGACAGTGGTTGCAAATTCCTTGAAGAGGTTCTGCTTGGGAGGAACTCTCACCTTGTGGACGTACTGCATATTATGTGTCTGTCGCCTAGAGGATGACATGCTTCTTATGTCCAGCTCCTTTGTTTCAACCTCATCATCATCAGCCCGCGAACCCATGTAAGATCAACTTTTCTGAAGTGCAGGAAAATTAAACCTGTATCAGAAAGAAAGCACTGCTAATTCATTTGCTGTATGAGCCCCAAGTAATGAAACAGAAGCTTGAAATCCATTCAAAACCACAAGAAATATTATTTAACTACCATGCCTTTACTTTTTACTTATTTTTTACTACATGCAAACTTTAGCTCAAAATCTACTAATTCTTGAGCTTTGTCGTGATAAAAAGATCGTCAAACTGGGGAGTAAAATAGAATTTTGATAGGGTAAAAGAGACAAAGAAAGTGAAGCTAACCAAACGATAGAAGGCAGGTGAGGTTTGCAGGCAATCACTGAGAAGTTACAATACAAAGCCTTCTTCAACTTGAAAGAACATGAACTTGGAGGAAACCTTGGAAAGACCTTGCTTATATAAGTTGTAAGAGGATTTCAGGTCAGACTTCACAGTCTAAAGAAAGATCTGAAACAACAATTATGCATGAATCTGAATCTTTAACAAGTTAAAAACATGACAGGCAGCAAAGTAAAAGCAAAATTTTCTAGTCCATAACCAGCAGACAGAGAGACTATTCGTAGCAATTGATGTTAAAAAATAATCATCTCCTCTCTTTATTATTGTGCTTATAATAGAGTATATAATATGCAGTTTTAGATGCTGTTGACTTTGGAAAACAAGTGGGAACAGCTAAAAAACCAGGTTTCCTTATAACCACAATTTTGTGTGTTTCCAAGTGGCATTCTCTTTTGTTCTTGTTCCTTCTTCAATTTGAACCGGTTACGCAATCAAGGATGAAAAGATTCGAAATTGAGATTTGAACTTGAGATTTTTTACGAGTTTATGATAACAAAAGTTGGAAAAGGTAAATGGTGAAAAAATTTATACCTCCAGTCTATGAGAAATGAGAACCAGTCGTTAAAAGGAGAATTTTCCAGGTTCGGTACAAACCAAGTGAAGTCTGATCTATACTTTCTAACTAAAGTAAGCGTTTCATTTTCGCTTTATCATTCAAGCCTTAAATCAATTAAAGAACATCAAGATCATGATGTAGGAATTCAGAATCTATAACCGGAAGTTACTATCACATCTCACAACACAACAAGTACTATTTCCAAGAATTTTAACTTTAAAAAATGTGGTCAGAAACTCAAATGCTGAAATACCCAGAAAAGGATTAACTGAAAGGAACATAGAGAGTCATAGATGCTAAAGCTCTCAATTTTAAAAACCCAAAAGCCAACTTTTGACCATACCAATAACTATAATAATTAATCAATAAATTAATTAACACGATTAGTCAATTAATTTAATTTTAAAAAAATTACTAACATACACGTAGAGATTGAAATTCCATGAGCATATTTACAAATTGCATTTGCTTATGAAGAAGAATAAAGGGTAGGTTAAAAAGAGAAGAAAAAGAATGGTTTGAAAGTCGAAGTCTCCTCCTTTGTTACGTTTCGCATGGAAGCCAGTGATAGTGGAAGACGAGATTTGAGTCCCACACAAGTGGAAAGATCTTCTTCTTCCATTTTCTAACATATGTAGCATCAACGAAAGCAAACAAAATAGTAAAAAGTGTTTATGCGGGGGGAAAAAAAAACTGTTAGTACCTAAAAATTAGTTACCTTTTCGCCTGCCGTGCAATCTTGACGGTGCTGGTGGTTGCGCCGGTGATCAAATATTATATTCATGGAAGAAAGAAACGGGTAGGGGAAAGAAGAGCTGGAATTCCATCCAGATTCAGTGAACCCGAAAATTAGTAAACTGTTGTCAACGTAATTTTCCTGCCCGAGAAAATAGAAGTTCTGGGTTCCTACAATTGTGAGCCCTGTTTGGTTGCCGGGAAAATTGTTGTGAATGTGAAGAACTGAAAATGAGAAGATTAATATATGGAAATGGAAAATAAATTCGACCAAGTTTAGCCCCCCGATTGGTATAGCGGTTTTGAGGTAGCGGTTAGCGGTTTTCCTTAAACCACTAGGTATAGGTATTTGATAAATTTATATATTTTGAAACCGCTATAAATAAATTGTTTAGTAAAATTTTTATTTAACGGTTTGAAACTAACAGATAGCGGTTAGAATCCAAACCATTAACGAATTGAAAAAGTTAGTTTATGTAACTTTTTATACCAAACCGCTAACAGATTAAAATTTTTTAATTTTATTTACAAATTTATCCATTTTAATTTTTTTAATTTGTGGTTACATTGTTTAATTAATAATTATCTAATAAATTTTAATTTTGTTTTTTTACCTTTAATAACATTAAGTGATTATAATATTTTTTT